TTTTTTTTATTTAGCAATTTATTTTTATTTTTTAAAGCTTTATACCAAAATCAGCACTTTTGAAACAGGAAGTGAAATAGAGGGATATGAGGCATGGCTAGAATGGGTGATCTGTTTGGTATTTTGAGCAAAACACTTCATAGACATGTTTTTTATATATCTGAGGCCTATGCTATTGCCTAAAAATAGCACGATAGGTGACTTTTAAAAGAAATAATGAATCAATAACAAATAAGCATTCCTCGTGAGGGATAGCATCACTATATTTTCCTACCAGATCTTCCATCTGCAGCAGCTTCCGGCTCTGCTCCTGCACGCGCTCGCTCTTCATCTCAATCACAAACAGCAGAGACTCCTGCTCGGACTCCCAGAATGCACCGGGGCTGCCATGGGCCTGGAGGGTGTTGATAAAGTACACGAAGGACAAAAACACAGTTACGCTTTATAGGAGTAATTCATGTAGTGATCAAATGATATGCATTTATGTTTTTAAAGTTTCCATTAATTAGATCATGTGTAAATACGAAAAATGCAAATCAATTAATTGTTATATAATGTCTAATTTAATTGATTAATTAATTACATATTTTTTTTAATTCACATTTTTAAATACATAATTTGTCACAAAGTTTAATATTTAAAAAAAGATGCTTTAATGTTCATTTCATTATATTTGTTTATACATCTCTAATACTATTTTGCCATCTTTATATACTTTAATAAATTGCAGGAGTGTTTTGTCCAGCAGGTGGCGCCACTTTAATGCATTATTTATCATTGAAGAGAGAGTCATGCATTCACAAAAACAACATATACAAAACTAAATTAAATAAATATTTAAACATATTAGATAGTTTAGTAAAAACCTGTCAATGTTCTGGTGCAAGACATTACACACTTAGTATTTAAAACCTTTACGTTTGTAGTTGTAACCTTTGCATATGTAAAAACTACAAAAAAAGATGGCGTCCCACCTGAATGTTCCTCTGCAGGTCCTTCTTGAACGTGGACTGTTCGACCCTCCTCCTCAGCTCGTTGTAAACATGCAGGTCTGCAGAAAGCTGCTCCACTTGACCCTGCAGTCACGCGAGGAAGTCAAATACAATATAATGATAATAAAGAATGATGTTACAGCTGCAGAGTGAGACACACAGCAGGTTACGTGTACAGGTTTCAAATGCATCTAAAAGAGAGAACATATATATTAAAGTTAGATTTTTTCTGCAGTTTTTAAAGGTATTTTCTTTTACCTTGAGGACGTTCTCTGCAGCCTGAAATGTTTCAGTCAGTTCAGTTTTCTCTTCTTCGTGTTTCTTCTGCAGCTCTGCAGTAAAACAACCAAACACATTTTAATTTGGCTGATTTTCGATGGATTTATTGTTATTAGCAACTTTTTAGTTTTCAGGGTGTATGCAGGAATCCTGAAGTCACATGTAATTCCTTTTAAGACCTTTTTTAAGACCCTTTCCATACATTTTAAGACCTCATCGCCACTTTGAGTTTTAACCGGTTACCTTGGCGACACACTTTACCTCACATTGACTATATACAGTATTGATCGTCCTTCCTCCTTATCTTCCAACCATTTGTGGTATTTTTGGAATTAACGGCATTTTTGGACCTTTAAGTATTTTTGGACCTTTGGACCCTTTCCATACATTTTAAGACCTCATCGCCACTTGGAGTTCTAACCAGTTACCTTGGCGATACACTTTACCTCACATTGACTATATACAGTATTGATCGTCCTTCCTCCTTATCTTCCAACCATTTGTGGTATTTTTGGATCTTTAAGTATTTTTGAACTTTAAGTATTTTTGGAATTAACGGTATTTTTGGAACTTTAAGTATTTTTGGAATTAACGGTATTTTTGGAACTTTAAGTATTTTTGGACCTTTGGACCCTTTCCATACATTTTAAGACCTCATCGCCACTTGGAGTTCTAACCGGTTACCTTGGCGATACACTTGACCTCACATTGACTATATACAGTATTGATCGTCCTTCCTCCTTATCCTCCAACCATTTGGACGCAGACTTGCATTTCCCCATAACGATGTTGTTTAGCAACCGGCATAAACGGACCTTCGCGTGTTATC